ACTTTTCTGAACTGAAGGATCAACCCTGCAGCAATGTAGAAAAACATTAGGAAGGAGAATAATATCAGGGCTGGGCGCCAGAGCCAATTTGGTGGTAATCCAAGGCTCTCCATGATAAATCTTCCGGTATATTCCTTGCAACGGGGATCGGTAGGATCAACTGAATATGGACAGCCGTAAAATTGGCCCCAGGCTGGGCCATGAGATCCGATAAATTCGTTGGTGCATAAAGCTCCAAAAGTGTAGAACGAATATGTGATCCATTTCAGCCATCTCACATAAACGGGGATCTGATTTGACTGTACGAAATAGCCGCAGGCTATAGACTGCAGCGTGAAGGACAGGTTCACTACCAGACTAGCGCCAGGAAAATGCCTTGAGATTCCTACGCATATAGTGGCAAATGTGACGGCAGTATATTGGGTAAGGATATTGAGTGCTAGAAACATGAAAAACTCAGCAGGTTGAAGACGATATCCAACCATAAAATAAAATATTACCGAGAACAACATGGGCACTGGTAGATCCTCAAGGAAGAACCGTGCTGCACGCCGGCTTAATAAAAACGACGGAACACCTACCACACCTTCAATTCGCTCTCGATCGAAAACTTGGATGTCGGTGGTAAGTCGAAAAGTCTCATAGAGCAGAATCAAATAGCCGTTTAAACTACTGGCAATATAAAGGCTGCCTTGTCGGGACCGTATTCCTGCTAGACTCAGATCCAATCGAAGGAAAATCCAGCCGGTGATGACAGACATACCAATGGCTTCGAAGAAACTCCCGGCAACTCCCATGGGGTCTCTTATTGTTACTTTAAAGGTCCGTGCCGTCAGCACTCGAAACTGTCGACGAAAATCAACATTCTTTGATGGTAGGATGTTGAACACACGTCGATCAACGGGAACCTGCAGATCAGATTTATCATCGACCGCCACTGTAATAGCCTTTTCCTTCCAAGCATCTTTTAATGCTTCAACGCGAACAGATGATGTTAATTCTGCTTCTTCCGATCGATTGTCATATGCTGCCAAATCGATTAGAAACTCTGCTGGGTTGACAAAAGCAGGAAGATGATGGCCATATTCCGCAAAATGAAGTATGGCGGCGTCTGCGGCTCCACTATAAAGGACCGAACCCCGTGATAACAGCACCACACGGTCAAAGAGACCCCATATCTCAGATCGAGGAGCGTGGATGGATATTATAACTGTCCTTCCATCCTGTGTGAGTCCTTTTAGTGTCCTGATGATCTGAAAGGCGCTTGTAGCATCCAGCCCTAACCATCAGTTAATAATTAGGAAACGCATTTGCCATATCCTTGCAAGGAACTATTGAGGTACCAGTTGGTAAGATGCCAAGCGGTCCCTCCACTTGGTTACTACAAATGATTAGGGAGGTTGTTAATCAAAACATACCCGTTGTCGGCTCATCACAGAAGAGGACAGAAGGATTCGCAAGCATTTGAACACCTATGCTTGTGCGTCTCTTCTCTCCTCCGCTACATCCCTTATGAGCAGAATTTCCAACCCGGGTATCTGCACATTCTTTCAGGCCCAGTTCCAGAATGACTTGTTCGACAACACTTCGTCGTTCCTCTTGGGTAGTCGGGGGGGGAAGCCTCAAATCCGCTGAGTATTGGAGAGTCTCCCGCACAGTCAGGTCGGTATAAGTATGTCCTGTTGCATTACATACGCGCTGCGAATGGAGTTTATATCCGCATTGCCATTGAAAGTCGTCGAGCGCAGGACGTCTGTGACACGACTTGCATTCACAGCCGAGCTATAGATATGGCATTTAACAGGCTGGTTTTCCCCGAGCCACTGCCGCCGATTATCGCCGTCAAACTACCCTGCGGCATATCTGCGGAGACGCCGTGAAGAACGGACTTGATAGGGCTGTCCGTCGTGCATCGGATGCGGTTCCAGAGAAATCGTGGGGAACTTTGAAATATCGGCGGGGTTGTATCAACGCGGACGACCAGATCCCGGACCTCTACATTGACAGGTTGAACCGCACGAAGGGATAAATGGGCTAGATTAGCCTCCAGGTCGTTCGCTGATAATCCACCCCGACCACCCACTATACCAATCAACTTCTCTGGGTCAACTGCCATGTTCAAACGGCCACAACGACAATCTGCTCTCTTCGGCGATGGAATAACACCCTGCTAATGATCCAAAAATAGATCGTTGAGAGGACTGTTGTTCACTGACTATTCTTAGGGCAAAATCCCCCTGCCTTGAAAAAAAAAAAAAAAAAAAACTGTGAACATCGCTAGCAGAGGAATCGACGGACGGTCGCCGGTTCTTATGTTCATTTTACTCTTCAACCCATGTCCGATATAACCTCCGCTAAGCCATTACCCTTGGCGAGGCTACGATTCAACAGCAAGCTCATACGGAGGTGGATACTTTTCGACGGAGAGCTACAGCCGCTAAAACCTCGCTTAGAGGTTACCTGCCCGCTTGCCATCCCCGCGTCGGCCATCTTTGAAATCAGGCAGGGGATCATGATTTAGCAGCCAAAAGCAGAAATAGCGCCAGGAGATATTGGTGGAAGTCATCTCCAACTTTCACAATTTCAAAGGAAAAAGACGTGAGATGGGCGAACCGAGACAATAACATTAAAAAAGCCTGGGCATTCCTACCAGCCAACAGAGTGCCTCTTTAAAATATCCATGGATAAGGAGACGCTTAAATAGGCTCCAGGTAGAACAGCTTCCAGGCTTGCTCATTGACATAAAAAACCACGCATTATACCAACAGCCTCAGAAAGAGCTCAATATTGAAGAAAACCTCTCAGCGACGATCCGATCTACGACCGTCAAGAAACAAAAGTCATTCTTGCAAGGCCCCAAGGTCACTGCACACCATATCCACCAGCTGCTTCGTGGAATCCAAGGGGAGAAATCTAAAATCTGCAATGAAAATTGAATTGGAATTCGATGTCCAGGGATTTTATTTCGGTTTTCCGTTAAGCTCTCCGGGAAGTAAACTCTGACACGAAAATATCAGTCATGGCAAACTATGATATATACAAAAACTAATCAATTCAGTTCTGATCTCAATTTGCCTCTTTGCCTTTCTCAACACAAACGGAGAAATATAAAAATGAACTGCTCAAATATGAAACAGAAGCTAACTCGCTGCTGGCCTACACCCTGAGGTTTTTGGATTATTGTAGAAAAGGTTCCCTTTGTCCAAAATGCCGTTGGTGCACCGGTTTTTTGCCAAGGGCCACAGAAGGCATCACAGCAAGAGAGGGGCTAACTGGGTAGACGCACGATCCGAACAGGAGAACAAAACTGTGGATAGGGAATCCGCAACAAAGGGTGCGAAAATAGGGGAGTATCTGAAAAGGGAAAGATACAAATACACGAAGAGAAAACGTGAGAACCGTGACACCCCGAAATCAATCGTCATCATGATGCCTTGCTGAAAATCCACGGTTGCAAAAATAAACACGACAAACGCTAGAAATCACAGTAGAGATGGCTGAAACGAGAGAGCACTCTGGAGAAACGGGTAAAGAAATCTTGTGATAAGGCGTTACCATCATAGCCAGCAATTAGAATTTGTCCCCTGACTCCGTGCTTTCAATAGCTTAAAACGAACGCCACCGCGTCCAAACACCCTCACAAAGGAGGAAGGAAATGTTTTGTTAAAAAATAAAAAGAAAAGAGAAGAAGGAAAGAAAATGAAAAATGAAAACGTTACGCAAAAGCCGCAGCATGGATATGAATAAGAAGAGAAGAGCCCATGCATCAAAAAATGATATCCCGGGTATCTTCCTACGATATGGCTTTACCAAGTGTAAGCAACCGAAGGAAGGAGGTCAGGGAATCATCAAGTAATCAAGAAATCCATATCCATATCCTCAATGATCTTCTCCCAATCCCAGCTTTCCTCAATACTATGGTCCATGACTCTCCAAACTTTCTCAACAACACGAAAGGCCGGTTCTATATTCCGCAAGCTTGAATAGGCTTGAAGGCTATCGAAACCTCTCTTTATGCGCTCGCGTTGTTTAGACTCGAAGGCAGAACAGCCAAGCAGAAACAGCGGCATTAACATGATAGAATTGGCACCAGCGTCAATGGGAAGTTGGTCAAGAAACAGAAGACCATCATCCACGACTTGAGCTATTTTCTCACTTGGGCGCGAGGGGCATATGGTTCGATAGAGGTAAACCCATGTCGACTGCCTGTACAACTGCGCCGCAAACCAGTTCGGATTATCTGGAGGGTATATTGGCTCCCATGCTCGTATCGACGAGTCAATCGACACAGCTTCGCTCAGTGTCTGGTAGTCGATCGAGGGTTCTATATCTTGCATAATCCGCTGTCGAATTCTATCACGGAGAACTGTGATTTCTGATATATAGTGGAACAAGCCATCAAAAATGCCCAAGAGTGCGCCAGCCTGAGCATGCGGTACAAAGTCTGGTAGGCGGAGGTCACCCGTGAGGCAAATGGGTCGGCGGTCCAGAGTAGTTAAGGAGTTTGAAATGTCATGGTATTGGAAAAACTCAATAATGAATTGTTTGAATTTTTCATTTTTTGGCGGGTGAGTCCGGAGGAAATACCGGGTGGCATCCATATGGGATCTATACTCCCCTCTGGTTTCTCCCTCACATATCGTTTTCAAGCACAGTGCGAGGGTAGCCGCAATCATAGGATCATCTACAGGAAGTTCTGGTTCATCGGCTGATTCTGCTTGCGACGCTATTATTACCCTTAAATTTGTGATTGCCTGGTCAAAGTGATAGTGTTTACGCTCTTTAAATTGCGGGTCTGGATCTCTCGTGGAAAGATGTGATCCGGAGAGGCACATTAACGAATGCATAAGACCCCGGTGCTGAGTGGCCATTGGTAACAAAATCTCCTTGAACGGATTAGAGTCGTCGTTAATGAGAGTAAGAACTCTACTAAAGTCGAAAACAAAGTGGTCAAGAAATTTTCGATCAATATCCGTTTCTATCCCATCTATCAAGATCGGAAGACCACGCGGGATGGCTGCAAGATAGTTCCTTCGAACTGCTATGGAAAGGATAAGTCAGTAAGCGGAAATTCTAAAGATGTCCTGATTTCTGGATGTATAAAATAAGGTGTGTACCCTCTTCCATTTTCTGCTTTCCACTTTTCCATATCTCTTTCATTGGGTAACCCTCACAGACAACCGCGTTCTTTTGACAATTCAAACAAGACGGCTTCGTCTCGTCGCATTTTTTCTTTCTTCGTCTGCAAGTAATACAGCCAGTTTTGGATCTTCCTTTGGCGACTTTTGCTAGACCGGGTGTTGGTAATGGGTGTTTCCGCGGTCTACCTCGTTTCCTCGGACCCTCAATGACATTTCGCGCTGTAGTCTCCGCAGAGCACGTTTGCAAATCCGTGTCCTTGTCTTGTTGATTGATTCCTTCTAGCGATACGGCTGCCTCATCCTCTATTTCTTCCACTTTTGGTGTCACCTCGTCCGCCGTCATATCTGTATCAGGAGAGGATACAACAGCAAAACTGTATGACTGGGAAGAATGCGAGGAAGTTGGGGATAGTTCCAGACTATTATTTTGAAGCGGCGACTCCGAACTGAAGTTCAGCGCATCGACGGTTCCTGTTGGAGTGCGGTTGGGTCGCGTATCGAATGGCCAAGTACGAGCGTACTGATTCGAATCATCCTCACCAGGCGAAATTATCACTGAAGAAAGGACCTCACTGGTAGAGGTCGCTGGAGACCGCAACAGGGCCGAAGATGAGGAGATTAAGAGAGCGGTTGCCAACTGCTGGTTGCGGCAATCGGCGATTGAGGTGCTCGCCCTGGGAGGTGTATGGTTCCATGAGCGCTCGGTGTATCCATGGTCCGGCGCGAGATGGAGGGATGAAAGGGCAGGTTTCCTTTGCATAAACAACATGGGGTTTCCAACAGGAGGGGCAACTGAGGTGCCCAGCGAGCGTTGGCTCAGGAAGAGAACGAAAAAGGGGAAGGAAAAATAGCGGACAAGTTTATGAAGTGGAAGTGCCAGAGGCAGGCGGACAGCTATTCCTGTCCTTATGATTAAATATTATTGTCTCGCCATGATACCTGACCAAATGAACACGAGCAATGGTTTGTGGATGGCATGCAGTCACTCAATCAAAATCGCCCGCTCATTTTCGCTGGCCTTCTGCCGCCAGGGTAGCGAGGTTGCCTTTTGGCTTGCGCTTTTCTCAATTTGGAAAATCCATCATGAAAGCCTGGGTTGGGACCCAGACGATGGCCTTTTTCATGACTAGCGCTCATGCGGCTGCTGCATGAGGGTGTTCCGGGAGGATTATCTCCCCAACAGCGAAAGCATCTGCAGCCCTCCTGGCTCTCAGGTAAACTAGCGTTGACTGCGGGCCAGATATAACGATGTGTTCGCTAGCGCTGGCTCACTAGCGGCTTTAGTGTGACCTGCGCAACGGTACGGATGAAAAGGCAAAATACTATGGAGTGCCACCATCGCCAAAGCCCCGTGCGGGGAGGCCCCATCGATGGTGGGCGGCGGGCCTGGGATTTCATGATGCGATGGTAGGCAGGATGTCACTCATGGGCATTAGGCCCCAAGTTCAGATTTCAGATACATCTGTCTCATCAATGTATGGGCGATACAGAGCCGAGCAAAAGAGGTGCCTGTTGATGGATGAACAATGGAACAGGCTGTTAAGTCTGAGATACTTGTTTCCAGGTGATTGCATCCGTCATGCGCCACAAATGCATACAAGGAGCGCAGTCCTGGGGTGAAAATCAGCCCGCAATGAATTAATCGATTGAATGTTGAGTATATGTTCTTTTTGCGCAAGCTGCTCTCGACTTGGGAATTATCTCCTCTGAAGTTAACTCACCCAATGATGGATATTTGCGCACATCGCCACAAAAGCGCCTATCTTAACAATTTGGATTGAAGACCTTATATATATCGAATACGAGAAACATACCTAAACCCTTTGCTTCGGGAACAGTCAGGCAGAGTTCGGATCCAGATGCATGATCCTTATGGCCAGCACTGAAATGATGGAATGAAATGGCCACTGAAAACCTTATTCGCGTCAGTCCCTGTGTTCAATTCGGCAAAAGAACACTTCACCGGGTATTTGGCTGCGAAGGCAACGCCCTACGTAGTGATTGTTGGTAAGGTATCAGGCTTGCTGAGTTTGAAATGTTAAACCAATAGAGGATATCAAGCAAATATCCCGCATTTGATTCTTTGTCCGACTTGATACAAACACAAGCGTTTGCTTTGTGATATCAGTTGCATTGGCAAACTTGAGTCAAGCGTCAAGCCCTCCGCCCCACACAGATCGGCCAATCTAACCGTCAACAGTTGAAAAGGCTATGGAGCTCGCGTGTGCGAAATGTTGGCAACTAATTTTCGGCTTGCTGGAGAAGCCTTCCACCCATCCGTCTGGATTGCCGTTAGTGTACATACCTTACATTCAGTTTATCATATGTTAAGAATCAAATTTCAAAACACAATGATCAAACGGGGACACTTATATATGCTGAACAGTGCAATCGCCTGGACGACATCTCACATCCAGCAACTTATCACTGCTTTTCCCCAAACACACCACGAACAATACCAAATCACATTTTTGTTACGAAACACTTTGGTTATATATTGGCCAGGCCGTCATGGAATCTCAAACGAGACACCACTCTCAGACGTTGTTCTGGGACGAGCACACTTACGGAATTGAGTATGTGCTTTAACGAGGCACACATCGTTGAGTTGAAACAGTCAAAAACATTAAATGTCGGAATACACGACTGAGGAAATGACACATGACATAGGAACCATGGATGTGACAACCGTTGAGTCCGCTAATACTGCTTATCATACATTTACATAAACTTTGATCTTTCCTCAGACTTGGGACGGGGTCAAAACTCGTCATTGTGCGTCTATGAACTGCGGGTATATTGCCCTCCTCAACATAGCAGCGGTTCTCTTGAGTAATTTTCTTTTGGCCTGCATCAACAATCAGATAAATCAAAATATCATCTGTTACGCTATTTCCAAAAATCATGTGCTAAAAAGCAATGTGTTGAATCGTCAACAGCCAGCGCTATTTTCCTTATTCAAGCACCAACCTGCGGATACTTGTTCTATTCCTAGCTCTCGCAGTTGAGGGAGAGTGTCCATGCGTAGGTCTTCAAAGGCCTGAGGACTCACTTGAATAGTTCTATTGGCGGGCTGGTGCACCCACCCTTAACTATGCAGTATTGTGAATGCACTCATTGAAGATAAGAAATCAAAAGACGCTTTGCCAAGTTCCGATTGCCGTACATTGATGGGCATGTGCTGTACATCCACTCATTGGATTGCATACTTCAAATTTTCCATCTCGAGGTACCCCAGCCACCGGTCTGACTTACTCGCCTCTTCAAACCGTCACCTTCGATTTTGGCATCGGCGGGAACAACTACCCGCAGACTGCCTGGTTAGGAGATTCCGGTCTGCCATGGGCAATTTCATGCAACGAACCATGGAGACGCGTGGCTATTGGAGAAGAGTACAAGGTACTGTACTTTGCATATACGTATGTGCATGTCCATGTACTGTACATAATGGACAGCATGTTTGTGCCCTCGTGAATCACAGATATTGCGCAAGATTAATAGCATTTTCTCGCTTGTGCATGCAAAATTCCATCCCATTGTCGTCGTTGGGGTTGCCAAGATGTTCACATTGTAGGCGTTTTGACCTCCTGCTAGCAGTTTGGTGGGGGCGGATCGTAGCCTCAAGATCCCGGAAATCATATTAGGGGGTTGTGACTGGTCGGGGTAGCGAAGGTTCCTCAAACCCTTCTTTTACGTCGTTTAGGCCCCGCTTGCTTCAAGCAACCCAGGTGTCAAGAGCGCCTCGCATCAGGTTGTGGTTCAGCCACGCCAGACCATCTTTGTTTGCATTGTTATCTCCATCATGGCATTGGGGGAGCAGCGCTGCTTCGGAGGACCGAAATGTGTCCTGATACGCAGATGAATTCCCAGCTCGCTGCCGCATTTATTACGCAGGCAATAGGAGCGGCTAACCTCGAAGAGGGAATGGTGCACTGTCCACGGATTGCATGACCCAGGGTTGGGGCTTGTGGGGGTCGACGGTACAGTACATACACCTCATCTCCGCCATCCGTTGCTGAAATACTAACGTTAAAATTGTTAGTTTCCAAATTGCCCCGAATATCCTCCAGAACGACTTGACAAGGAGCGTATGAAAAAGGAGGAATGGAGTAAAGAGCTGGAACCCTCCCAACTCCTAGAAGAGTTAATTGATTCGTTGCTGACCAAACTTTACAACACCCAAAGCACAGACACAGAAGTGAAGAGAGATGTGCCAAGAAAAAGCAAACAAAATCTGTCCGCACACAAGGAGAGACCAAAGCAACTTATTCTGGTCTTATTTTCTTGCTTTGGAATCCCAGCCATATTTTTGCATCCTCAAATCTCCATATCGCCAGTAATTGCTCATCATAGGATTCTCAGCAAATGCTGGCTCAGTCTGTTATCCTTTCTGTATGTTTGTGATTCTCTTGAAATTTTCATTTTCATGTTCTTTTTTTGGGTTCCGTACCTTGTCCGTTTTGTCGCTGTCAAGAAACAGTTTTGAGAGAAGTAACACCACAGATCCCAAGACGAGGAGCAGAGTATGCCATTACATTGGAGTGATATGTCAAAATAATAGTTGAGAGGGGAGGGGATTGGGATAGCTGGCTGCGCGGTTTCATCCCTCCAGCCAGCTTCATGCCCCTTTCTCTCTCCTCCATTCGTATCCTTGAAGATGGCAATTAAAATATACACGTGCAGACTCTGGCGAGGATGGTGTAAGGGAAAGAGCAAAAAAGATTGGCAGGAAACCGTACACTGCATCTCAGTCATTAATGGTCATCGGTCCTGTATGGAGTATGGAATAGCTGGGATGAAAATCAGGGATGCAGAGAAATTTTGATCAACCTTTGACCAACAGCTGTCGGCCGCAGAAGAATTTGTTTGCAGCTAGGAGAAGCGAGAAGCACACGAAAGCCAGGCAAACCTTTTTCTTGAGATGCTCTGTGGCGTTGTTTTGCTGGTTGATTCTGCAAAGAAAACGGGAGATCTTTGTTTTCCGTTTCCACCCTTCCCGTCATTCCTCGTCGATATCCATGAAATTTAAGGATTTTAGTTCGAGCTGCAAATCAGCCAATTCTCTAGGACAGCCACAAAATACGGGTCTGGAAGAGCCGTTTACTCACGACGACGCAAATATTCCCAATCATCGCACCTGTGGAGATGGCTGATATGCCAGGCAATGTTTGTGACCAATGGGATCATTACATCGATCATTTTGGGCTTTCATCTTATTGTGGGAAACGATTTCTGAAGATCGTTACCACCAACTCCGAGGATGAGACCTACAGGCTTCAGGGTCCCCTGCCGCTGCAAGTTGGCTTGATCATGGTTTGCCTGGGTGCCTCCGACTCGTATACCGCAGAAACGCTGCTCGACCTTCCTTGAAAAGCTTTAAGCGCCCCACTAGATATGCTGGAACGGCGCAGACTGCTTGAACAAGACTCCTGGGTAAGTCGGATTTAGCCAGGTGCCAATTCGTACCGTAGTAGAAATGGCGTCTGACCCTGGTTTGTGAAGATTATTCATATTATCAATCAGATGAATCGGCCAAGTCATTGTCAGTATTATTACGATAACATTGCGATGGCCATATATTCTTTTGTGGGCTTTCAAGAGGAACACATTTTCAGGTTATTAGCACACACCCCTGTTCCACACAAGCTTGCATGTGCATGAAAGTATATGTAAATGTATCGTACTAAACACTGCATCCTGAAGCCTGCAGAACAGCACGACAATCAGTTTACCCCGCTTACTAGCTGGTCCAGTTTGTTGGGTTGGCGTGGCAAGCCTTGGAGCGCAAATCCTCGCTACAATCAAATGACTCGCAAGCAAGAGTTGAACAGTTTCAGAATGGGTCAAGGGACGAATACTGCTGGGAGATAATCTCTTGGGATGGATTGGAGGCTCCCATATTCAAACGCCGGAGCGGAAAATAAATTCCTCCGTCAGTTTACAGCATCTACCTGTGTTTGCTATCTGGATAGTAGGCCCGCATCAACTTTATGGAACTAGGCAAGTTATCTTTATAACCTCGTCCTCGGAGTTTTTATCTTGCATACATGTACAGTACAATGTGTCATACATCCTGAGATAAGCAATGAAACCCTGTTTTAATTATCTGAAATCTATAAACAGCGCAAACATGCAATTCGTCAAGAAGCTAAGCCAGCAGCAACACACTTGCAATACCTTGGGACGCGGGATATATCCGCAATCAGGAAAGCCTTGACAGCCTGTCAATCATTTTGCTGTTTTTTCCAAGGCAGCCCGCTGGGATCGAGATAGAGTGACGATGTTCCAAGTTTGTCCCACTTTCCCCTCGTTCGTTCAGCCTGCAATGCTGACAACAGCAAAGCCAGCGTATATCCGGCTTTAACCGTCCCCACATGGATCAAACCTCATCTGTCGTCATTTGTCCTTTGATTTCAGCCATCTCCCATAGTCCCAGGCATCTTGAGAATTCGATATCCCGGTAGGCAACTGAAAGAAAGAGGAATCCTTACGATCTATCTAGATCAGATCCTGCGGGTAAGTGGTAATGCGGGAAATCTTGCCATGATTAGCTTGAAGTTGTGGATGTGTTTATGCGTTTCAAGTGCTCACTGCCGCATTGCTACTTGAGCCCGGCAGTCGTCCACTTGAAAACAAACTGTCCATATGCCTGCCCGCATACTAACCTGCAGTTAAAGGTGCCATAAAATGGTGATACACTACGGAGCTCACGGTGCCATCTTAGCACAGATTCTGTTTTGACTGAGTTTTATACGGTCCGGATAATCAGAGCTGTCTAGAATGCATAATAAAAGTTGGCGGGTTTTCAGGTATCTACCGTCGACGGTTTTCCCTCTTTCATTTCGGCACTTCTCTCTCTTTCTCCAGTTTTCATTTACCTCGTGGCTCGCTTGCTTTCCATGAGTAACAATTATTATATTCTTCGTAGCATCGTACTCGACATGTTTTTCACAGCCTTCTTCCACTATAAGCACACAACCGAGCAATTCTAGAAGGAACAT